AGAGACTACAAAGAAAGGAGCTCCACAGTCAAGAACGGAGGCAACTAGAATCTGGCTAAATTGCTGGAGAGATCTCCCACAAGCTAAGATCCAAGCTTGGATTGAGCGTATTCTTATACATATTCCAAAGATAATTGAGCTACAAGGTGGTAATGAGTATATAGAGGGGAGAGATAGGCGTTGTGTAGGAGAGCGGCCAGATTTCGGCTAAATTATTCTTGGCAGGACAAAACTTTTGTGAGGCACCTCCGTAATAATAACAGGAATAATCGGAATAGTAGGGGCGGAGAGCAGAATAATAATCAAGGGCGCGAGGATGACGGGTGAGGTGGCTGAGGTGTCTGTGTGTACATGTCCAAGTAGGTGGGAGTGTTTGTATGGGCGTGTCGTATGCGGAGGGTGCTGCGCCCACACGACCTACGACTACTCTGCCATGGCGCGCAACGGGCGGACGGGGGGGATGCATGCTGCTGCTCAGCGTCGGCCTGTGTCTGAGCGTGCACAGCCTCTGCCGCCAGCCGCCAGCCGCCACCAGGCCCGGCTTCTGGCCGTGGCTGGTAGGGCGCGGGCACGGCACTGGCACTGACGGGCGCTGACGGGCACTGGCTACTACAAGTATACGTGTACTGGCACGGCAGTCTTGGTTTGGCTGGCGGCTGGCTAGCATGGACGTGCTGCTAGCCTTCATCATGCATCGCGTCTCGTGTATCATGCCGCAGCATGGCCACTACTACTTGCATGATGCTGTCGCTCGCTCGGCTGCGTTCCAGAAGGCTGGCGGGCGCCAAGACGTGGCACCTGCGGGAGGCCTGCGAATCGCAACGTCGGTACCACAATGGGCCCAAGGCCATCACCAACAGACACGGCCGAACCACGACGCCCGGCTGCTCTGCCACGCCCACGCCCACGCCCACGCCCAACGCCCGCCACCGCCGCCGCCCGCTGCATACAGCAACACCCGCAACGAGACGCTGAGCCCGCCACGGCCTGCCTGTCCCCGCGCGCGCGCTTCCCCCCCCCAGACGCCCTGCTCCTGCTCCCGCCGCTGCTCCTGCACCCCTCGCCCACGCCCACGCCCACGGCCTCGCCTCGCCCACAGCAGCCCCCTCCCCGTGCGTGACCGGCCCCTCATCCTGCTCCAATTCCACACCCACTCGCTCGCCCTCTCGCAATCCACCCCCCGACCGCGAGCCGCCCGCTTGCCTGCTGCAGACCCCACAGCTGTCGCACAAGAGACATTTGCCAGTCCGCCCGCCCCGTCCGCCCGCTCGCTCCAACATTTGCCGTCCACACCACCCGCCGCCCGCCCACCACAGACGCAGACCCAAACAACAGCCACGCCTGCACATATACACACACGCACGCACACACGCACACAACCCCCCGCCCCCCTGTGCGAGAGTCCATGGCCCAGGGCACCAGAGGGCCCACCACGCCAGCCATGCCCCCCAACGGCTCCGCGGCGCACGATTCCGCCCCGGCCGCCGTGAACCGCAAGAAGCAGAAGCGGCGGGAGAAGGAGGCTGCAAAGAAGGCCGCTCAGGAACAGTCTGCGCCTGCGCCTGCGCCCACGAGGAATGGCGTGATCCCCGCCGCCCAGCCGCCGCCGCCGCCAGCACCGTCACAACAACCACCGCACCCTCAACAGCAGAAGCCGCCGCCGCCACAGCAGCAGCAGCAGCAACATCAACAACAACAACAGCAGCAGCAGCAGCAGTACGCCCACGCCGACGGAGACGAGCCGCAGTACCAGGAAGGCGCCTACTACTCCGACGACGACTACGAACACACATATGGCGCCAACGGCGACTACCAGCAGCCCTACGGCCACGCCCCAGTGCGCGGCGGAGCCAGCAAGAAGTCGCGCCGGAAGAAGAAGGCGCCCTCTGCGCCGCCACCGCTCGCCTACACACAACACCTCGCCCCCCGCCAGAGCCCCGCCAGCAACTCGCATGCCGTCTCGTCGTCGCACGCAATCCCCCGCTCCGCCTCGAGCAAGGACCGCATATGGAACACGTCGACGGCCGAGGAGCGCGAGCGCATACGCGACTTTTGGCTCTCCCTCGGCGAGGATGAGCGCAAGTCGCTCGTCAAGATTGAAAAGGAGGCCGTCCTGCGCAAGATGAAGGAGCAGCAAAAGCACTCGTGCAGCTGCACCGTCTGCGGCCGCAAGCGCACCGCCATCGAGGAGGAGCTGGAGGTTCTGTATGATGCATACTACGAGGAACTCGAGCAGTACGCGCACCACCAGCAAGACGTCGCTAGTTTCCTTCCTGAGGCTAATTATCGCTATGCGTCCAGTGCTCCTCACCCGCGCCCCATGCTCAACCCCCCGCAACCATCCCACGGCCCCTACGACGACGACGAAGACGACGACGACGACGACGACGAAGAGTACGACTCGGCCGACGACGACGAAGACTCCGAGTACGACAGCGAAATATCCTCCGAGGGCGACTACAGCTCGGGCGAGCCCAGCCTGCCCCCGCCAGAGCCCTCGGATTTTCTGCAGTTTGGCAGCAGTCTGCAGGTCAAAGGTATGCACACATAGGCCACC